GACATCCCCATTTTCACGGCCAGAAAAGACCGATTTTGTTTATGCTTTATAAAAATCAGAGTACCCCTTTTATTAAAAATGTTGCAGAATTTGTTCCCAGAAAACATGATAAATACTTTATCAAAGAATTTTCGAAGAAATGTATTTTATTCATTTTAAAACATTTGGGATGTCATCGTCAATACAGAAACATAAGCATAAACAAACCTTACATTCATTTACACTAGTGATCTACATCTCCTTAATCTCTCTGTGTAAAGTAGCTTCATATCGACATTTGTCATACAAATAGACTTGAGTGGGTCAGGTTGGGAAACCTGGTGAGCATATAGGGTTTTCAACCCACAATAATATAATTATTATGTTTAAACAGTAAACAATCAACCCAATTACCCATCCCATTATCTTCTTTACTCTTAAGGGTATACCCTAAGAATCATCTATCCTACATTCGTTCATTCTGAAGTCCAATGCTTTCAAGGTTTATCTGACAGGCACTAAGTCCATAGCTGCCGATGCTCATTCATAAAGCACTAATTCCATAGCTGCTAAAGTTCATTCATCGGGTACTAAATCCATAACTACCATTGTTTATCTAATAGGTACTAAGTCCATAGCTACCAACGTTTATCTAACAGGTACTAAGTCCATAGCTACCAGCATTTATCCAATAGGCACTAAGTCCATAGCTGTCGATGTTATTTATTAGGCACTAAGTCTATAGCTGTCAATGTTCACTCATATCATCTTTCATCTCTCATCATTCATCTACCCATGTCTTACCCAACATATTCGTAGATATAAAAAACTTATACAACTTAAATCATTAAGAACATGTATAAATTGTTCATCTAGAATAGATATCAAGAACACATATAATTTGCACACATAGCATGTAATTTATATTAAATACTTCATATTTATGTGTAAGATGAAAATAACTATGCACTCACTTGTTAAGGTGGTGATTCTGAATTCAGACAGCGCTTCGCTTCTATTAACTTACTTTCCTTTGATGAAACCTAATATCATTACCACTAGATTTTAGTCAAATGTCCATCGTGACTAATTATTAGTCTTAGCATTATTATTATTACTAGGCGAATGCCCACGCATTATGCAGAAGCATCTATATAGCTGAAATCTTTACAAATATATATTTTTTAAATATTACAATAATGTTGTTGTTAAATTTGATATAATAATTCGTATACTAAGAGATATAATATATTGATTATTTTGAGGTGTAAATTACATGAATGGTCCCTATGATTTAGGGTAATTTGCGCGTTTGGTCCCTAACTTATTTTTTTTAACTCGGATGGTCCCTACTATTTGTTTTTGTTACACGCTTGGTCCCCACTGTTTGTTTTTGTTAAGCGTTTGGTCCTTGTCTTACCTAAAAATACTATTATTTAAATAGAGAAAAATGGTGGGGTAGGTAAGGTAAGGTAAGGGGGTGGGGTTGGGGTGTGTTTATTTAAATAAATTAAAAAAATCAAGGGAAAAAAATAGTCTTTTTAGGTAAGACAGAGACCAAGTGCGTAACAAAAACAAATAGTAGGGACCTTCCGCGTTTAAAAAATAAGTCAGGGACCAAACACGCAAATTACTCTAAACCAAAGGGACCATTCGTGTAATTTACTCTAATTTGAATTATATGATAATATATACATCTATTAAAACTGCATAATCTCAATCTTTTGAATGACCTCTACCCGTGGGTTACTCATGAATAAAATTAAATATAATATATGGTTTAATGTTATTTATAGTTGTTATCGTGAATTAATTTTTTAAAATTTATTTGCTTAACGTTTTAATTTCTGTTATTGTAATTATTTAAAACATCAAACAACTTTTTTTTCTGATGTTAAAGGTAACAATATAATCATTTATATAAAGTTATTTTTAACTATTGTTATTGTAAGTTATTTTAAACTACTTATTTGAAAACTTTTAACGATTATAAAAATATGTTTAGGAAATATTTTAGTTAAATTGATATTACAATTTAGTTTTTGCATTTAGCATTACAATTTATCACTTTTAACTATTCACAAAATATTCTTTAGGTTTTTTAAGTGGAACTGAAATTTATATTGAAGTTGACCCTGTAATGTTATATTTAAATTAACAATTTAAGTATTTTGTCCAAACTGTTGAAAAGTTGTAGCTTTAAACTGATAATGGTTTACATACAACAACATATTAAATTTAATAAATTAAGTATAGTATGTTAAAATTTAAAGACATAACTTTATAAGTAGAAGTAAAAATATTATTTTAATATTAAAATTTAGTTTATTTATGATTACACTTTACGTTTAATACTTATTTACCTTATTAACCAACTTATAATCATTATTAGAAAGACACTACAACTTATCACTTTTAACTATTTACAAAATATTATTTAGGTTGTTTAAGTTGAACTAAAAATTATATTTAAGTTGATCCTATAACGTTATATTTAAATTAACAATTTAAGTATTTTATACAAATTGTTCAAAAGTTGTAGCTTTAAATTGATAATGGTTTACATACAACAACATATTAGACCTAATAAATTAAGTATAATATGTTAAAAGTTAAAAACATAACTTTATAAGTAGAAGAAAATATATTCTTTTAATATTGAAATTTAGTTTATATATGATTACAGTTTAGGTTTTATATTTATTTAACCTTATTAACCAACTTATAATCATTATTAGAAAAAAATTGAAAAATCATGAGTGTTTCAAATAAATATAGTGAAAGGAAAAATGAATGAGAGTTTCAATGAATGCGGTGAAAGAAAAAATGTTTCATTTATAAGTATATAATGACTATGCGAATATCCATGTGTTGCGCAGGATAAAATTAAAACTTTTGGTAATCTTATGTTATTGAAAATATTTATATCATTTATATTAACTATAAAATAATAATTATTTTATTTAGTTTATATAAAATTATAATTAATTTGAACAATAGATAAAATAACACTTATAAAAATCAAATCATTTAGTGGTCTCTACTCATGTTTTACGTGTGTATAACATTAGTTATATTTGTCAACTATTTTAATTTACTACTGTTATGATTTATTAATTTAAAAAAAATTGACGGTGTTTTAATTTTATCATGATGATTATTTAAATTATCAAAAACTGTTTGTAATCTAACATAATTTAATTTCTAAGTTTCTATTATTTTTAGCTATTATTATTATAAATTAATTTAAAAACAACTTAATTGAATTTTAGTTATTATGAAATATAGTTTTCAGACATCTTTTAGTTAATTCGTTCATCGATTTAGATTCTTTTATATTTATTACATTTAATGTTTTCCTTTTAACTATGTTAAGAATATATATTGAATTTTTTTTAAACATTATTTAATATTTTACTTTAGGTTTTAAATTTTACACTAAATTTTTAAGCTTATTTGATATATTAACGTATGTTATTTATTTAACAATATATTGAAGTTCATATTGATAAGTCACAAAGTCTTCCATATATGATAATGTTTACAACTAAAAACATATTTAAGTTAATAAATTAAGTATATTAAATGGAAATATGAAGAGTTAAAGTTTCAAATGAATGTGTTGAAAGAAAAAATGTTTCATTTACAATATAGTATGATATAAGCGTTGAACAATACTTCTCAACCACCATGTACAGACAGGGGCCAGACATGGAACACCAGAGGGCAGGACCATTTTGGCATTAAAGCACTTCTGAAATCCAACAACCCAGGCGGCCCTTCAAACCGGATTCCCCATACTGCGAG